GTTGACAAAGGTCAAGATTTAGCAGATATTTCTAAAGATTTGGTTATTGAACCTGTTAAAAGAGAATGTCCTTTAGATAGCTTTGGTGAAATAGTACATTTGGCCCACGAATTTAATTGTTCATTGTTTTACAAATGTGTTAATGGTAAAAAAGTTCGATTTCAATGCCCATTAGGCTTACATTATAATCCAGTATTACAAGTATGTGATTATCCAGAATATGTTAACTGCGTTAACGCATAAGACAATTTGTAAAAAAAAAGCGAAAATGGAAATTTAACATAAATTACGATGTCAGAGATCCTCGGTCCTACTTTTTCTTATTTCGACATTACTTTATTGAAAACAATTAAACGGTAAATTAATAATTCATGAATTTTTCGAACGATTCTATTTTATATTACTATCGAATACTTGTAATATTATCATTATTTGAAGCGAAATACGAAGTACCTGTTGTAATAGAGATTTAAATCTATAATATATTAATGGAATTTATAATTACACATTGTGTTGCTTATATTGAATAATTTCTATTATTCTTATTATTTACATATTTTTTAAAATTATTTCAGCGTGTCATTATTTAAAATTGTATAAATGATATATTGAATTTTTTGCAAATAATGCTTTTAAACATTCATTTATTATAACTTGGAGAAATTTACTGCTTTTTCCAATAATCTTATTGTATTGATTAAATAAAGATTTATTCACAACTTTTAATTAATCTTATATTTCCATACATATCCACAGCAACGAATTATTATCTTCTTTGACTTCAAATTTAACTTCCTGTTTAAGAACACAGAACTTCGAAGATCATTTTAATAAAGCGTATTTAATAATACAATCCACATAATCCTAGATCATTCCTGTTTATTTATTTTTTTAATACCATCTCAAACAGTATCTTTAATACATGAAATTAATAGTTATTTATTGATAATTAAATCTTGCATATATATATATATGTACTTTCGTAATTTAAATGTTAAATCAATTCATCTTATCTAATTCATTTTCTTATTCCAAATTGTCGTAATTTTGATAAATGAATTTAATTTTACGATAAATTGCGATGATATTAAAAAAATTGTTACAGAATGAAGACAATGTTAAAAATGAATTATATTCTCTATTATAGAAGCATCTAAAGCGAGGTGTAAAAGAGTACTAGTTTTGCCAATCATTAGTTTTATAAAACTGTCATTACTTTGACTAGTTGTGAAAGAAAATACGATCCTTTCAAAGAAATAGTTAAACTTAGAATGTTTCCTACATCGAAAATTCATACCATCGTGTGTTTACTCAGTATCATCGTAATATTTATCAATCATGTCACTAAAGTTTACTGCCGGATTACTTAAAAATATTTCTTTTCTCAAATCAGAATCTTGAAAGTTACGAATAACTTGTCCTGTAATTGGTTTGCTTTTATCTTCCTTTAATTGTTGATAATTATGATGAATATCAGGTAGAAATCTTAAATTATTCCATGGGTATCCTAAATAAAATTGAGGTAATGTATTAACTCCTTCCCTTTTTCCATACCTGTATAAAAAATATAATAATGAAGATTAAACTAACTTTTTCATTAAATTTTTTTTTCTTTATTTAATCTCGCGGTTGTGTGTGTGTATGTGTTTTATTTTCTAACGAAAAATATCATTTATATTTTACCATAATATTTAAAGCGTTGTTAATTAAAATCAATTATTATTTCCTTGTGATATAATATTTTTTAAAAAAATTCCATATTACCGTGTTTTCTTTGTTTTTCTTTTGATGGAATATTTATTAACGAGAAAATATTAATCGACGTATATTACCTTGCCTTTCCACTATACAAATAATGATCTTTCACGAGATCTACATATTTTCGCAATTCTTCAGGACTTGTAAAAACTCTAGGTTTTATTGGTATAGCCATTGGTTCCGGTTCGCATTGGATTATAGTGATACCAAAAATAGTAACAAGTATCACAAGATTGAAAGATTTCATCTTAGATTTTATTTAAGTAGACGTAGACGAAAGATGAAAGAGAGAGTTTGATTACTGTAAAAATTAATTCAATTCATTATTTATCATTCATATATATTCAATCCTTTTTCATTTTTGTTTTTATATGTATTCTATGTGTGTATTTGCAAAACGTGTGATTTTAAATATATATAAATATAAATAATATACATGCACATATTAAATATACGCATGATCTACTTCTTCCTATAAAATCTTTACACGTGAATAATGAATGGAAAAGTGTTCAACGTGAAATTACACGAATCGATTGCTTAAACTCGATAGACTGGAACAAAAAAGAAGCTAGTGAAATACAATATAATATTATACAATAGTATGTGTAAGAGCCATGTGGATGAATACTCGATTCCAAAGTTACCTGTTGCTTCTACCACCTCGTTTCCCGTAGCCCGACAAGTAACTTTGTCGATAATTGTAAGTACTCGTTTTTCCACGATATCGATAATATAACGAGTCTGTTTGAAAATGAAATAATGAAAAAGAAAATAAATTAAAAATAAACAAAAAAACTAACCGGAGTCCTTGCGTGAAAAAAAAAAGAAAAGAAACTTTCATATGATAAATTATACATATTGTTCGAGAGATATTTGTTTCGTTCAATTTTTATTTTATTTAAGATCATTTATTTATATATTTTCTTTATATAGTCTAAAGAAATTAAAAATTTGTTATAAAAAATAAATAAAAAAAGAAGTAAGACTTAAAGGTAGGACGATTATAAAGAAAAGGTTCGATGTTGAGATTGAAACTCGTATAATACAGGTCAAGCGACTGAACGAATTAATTATAGCATTTTTACAACCTCTTAACGGGACAATATTGCACGTTGGTGGTTACCCAGCGCAGGTCCACTTCATAGATCGATCGTTTTTTCATGAAATTGCAAGAACTTATATAGCGGATGAAAGGTTAGAAGAGAATAGAAATAAAAAATAAAAAAATACACGTTGTTGAACGAAAATTTTAGTAGAAAAAAATTACTCTCTCTTTCACTATCTCTAATGAACAATATTACACAAACGATCAAACGATTTATAATATTAAAATCACGGATCGATTTTTTTCAGTATGATTCATTAGTTCAATCTTCCTTTTTTTTTTTTCTTTAAATTTCATCAACGTAAATTCATTCGACATATTTATTCCCCCATGAACATTTCTTCGTCCACCGATGTTGATTCTTTTGACCGTTTAATTAAATAAAATGAAGATAACGAGATCCGAGTTTAAAATCGATAAGTTCGAAACGTTACGCTCTCATTTTTTTTTTCTCTTCCAATTGTTTAGAAAAATGAATATTTTAATTATTTAATTTTTTCTTGTTTTGGTTTTGTTAAAATACCATCCGCGTCAGAAAATAATTTCAATGATTCGAACTGTCACATAGATAGGGCGAGGGAAAATATTTCGTTGGGGGAAAACAAACAAAAAAAAAAAAAACAATGAATGGGGAGGAAAAAAATAATATTTAAATAAATTGCGCGTGTGTAAGCGAAATGTGAAATGACAGGGTGACAGATTCGTTGAAATTTCATTTTACGTTTACCAGAGTATGATTCGTATATATTCATTTATTTATTTATTCTTTTTTTTTATCCTTTCTTTTTCTCTTTTACGTATTTTTAATAAAATGAATACAATTTTGTTCGCCAATTGCAATAGGATTTAAATAGACTTTGGCAAGTGACAAGTGTCTCTTTCGTTCAATTAAAACATTAGTTAAGAATTTTCTCTTCTATCGAAGAACTATTCAATCGTATGAGTTGTTTTATTCATTTAATTAAAGTGTGATAATTGAAAAGAAATACGACTAATTAAAAGCTCGATAGATAATCCATTAATTTGATTGAAAAGAACAAGAAAATCCGACGAAACGATAACTTTTAAGCAAAGAAAAATGAATGAATTTTGGTGTTGCTTATTAATTATTATCAAAAATTGCATTAATAAGAATGAAAATACGTGTAAACGACGAAGATCGAGAAATATGATCACTTTCGTTAGATTAAAACACGAATGATATTTCACGATTCCGTTTAATAATAAGAAACCACAATTATATACATATATATATTTATATCCAATTCACGAGTTTTTGTTTTCTTTTTTATATTTCTTTTCTTAACACAAATTAACGAACGCACTGTATTTTTCTCGTTGCACAAGTCCATGAAAAAAAAAAAAGAATTTATAAAGAAATAAAAAAGAAGAAGAAAACCCGTCCACCCCTTAAAAAAAAAATACAATCGTCGCACAAATTTCAACGATCTCGAGATTCACTTTACTCACCGATCGAGAATAATTATCGAACGAAAGATCCTCGAATTTTAATAATTCTTTTTATTTGTCCCTTCAAAAAAATAAAACAAACACTTGTTTATTTTCTTTTACGTTGATATTCTTTTAATAATTATCTATCAAATATATCATCCATATGTATATTTAAATTTTTTTTTATACTTGAAATTCTTTATCCTCGTATTATATCACTTTTAAAATATTCCTTTAGGTATGGTTAAACCTTTCAGAAGTTCAGATTGCCCGCTAATGCTGTCGGGACGAGTTTATATACTTGTGAACGCACCCTATCGACGCATCCCCTTGATTGCAGGTCGCCTTTCGCGCAGCCAATCCTCGAACTCCAGCCCCACCAACAACGGAACAGAACACCCCTTTTTCATCGTCGTTGTTCATCCATATATGGATATCTTCTTCCTCGATCTCTCCCCAACTCCTAGCTCCAACTCCAACCCCAACCCCTAATCCCAACCAACTCTCATCTCTCACCTTCTTCTTTCTTTTTATTTTCTTTTTTTTAAGTATCTCTAAATGAATGTAACTATCTACGTCTTTATACATGCATACTTTTACATTTGTAGGAATTTATCTCGTTGACCATCTTCTTAATTCTAATTGCCAACCCTCATTCTTTATCTTCTTTCAGTATATTTAAATGAGAATAATTACTTACAGTTAATTTATACTTGCATTTTCAATATTAATAGTATAGTGATAATTAATAAGTCTCTAACATTAATAATTTTCATTTCATTGATTTGTATCTCATCTAATTAACGTGCAAGATAAAATAAATCTATTAAGGATATTTCATTGAATAAAATAAAAACAAACGATTCTAACGATTTAATAACCGAGAATGGGGCTTAAAAAGTACATTCCATTTAATAATTTGGATTAAATATGAAAATCCGGATAATCGTTTATATAAGAGATGAGAAACTTTCGCGACGAAATGAATACCCCCTCCTCCCTTCCCCCCACCCCTCGTTTTTTTTTCTTGTCTCCACTTTTTTCTTCTTAATTAATATCCAGTTAAAAACGTCGTTAAAAACTTTGATTCTTTTCTTACATTGATTCGATCGTAAACGTTCGATTTTTTTTCGTATTTGACGTAGGTCAAGGAAAATATTTAACTTGTCTTCTGTCGTAGAATTTTGAAATGAAAGTCATCGTGAATTTTTAAATCGTCGATCTTATGATCGTCAAAAGAGAGAACTTTTTTTCAAGCTTATACGGCTAAACTTTTGAATAGAGATAACGAGACGGGGGTAAAGTTGCAACCTAGCCGAAGATACAAGAGAAAAGCAACAATTCCGCGTTGTTAGCAGGGAATCTCTAATTCTTAACGCGTGGGTTGCACCAGAGAAGAGAAAAGGAAAGGAAAGAAAGAAAATGAGGAGGAGGAGGAGGAGGAGGAGGATCCTCCTGTGATGGATATTTTCATGAAAATGTTAAATACCAAATTTTCAATGTTATGATTAACATAAAAAGGGGACCTGTCAATCGAAATAATCTTATTAATAATGTAAGAACCTTACATTTTTATTGATTTCGGTATTATATGAGTTTATGGGATTAATCCGTTCTCTTTTACGTGTATGAAAAATCAATTAGTTTCTTCATAATTATATATTTTTCTTTTAATTCATTTATCGTTTTATATTAAAATAATCTGTTGCATGTTAAAATATTATACACGATCGTTAATTTATAATAATAATAATAATAACCAGAAATATGTTTTATCTTTCTTCTCTCGAATTTTTCATTACGACAATTAAACGTATGAATAATTTTTATACTGTTTTCTATATAATAAAATACACATATATGCTGAATTACATTACTAAAATATTATTACTGTCTTAATTACAATTGAAAATAATTTTTTGTTGTTTAAAGAATTATTTCCCTCCTATCAATATTACAATGTTGTAATATAATTCCGTATTGCATGTGATTATTGGTACACGTTCGTATGGTATTTCATTAATTCTAATATCAATAAGAAAACGCGTCATAGGGGGTGACCTATACCAGATAAAATAATTCGTATTGGTCATAAATTAATGTATCTCGGTAAAAAAAATTTTTTTTGGCAGACATATGTTCATAACTGTTCGCTAAGCGTTCCTCCAACGGACTGATAATACGCAGTGTTTCTCAAATGATTATATCGATCATTATAAATTGTTCATCATTTATATAAAAAAAAGTAAAGGTATAGGAAGATGGTGAACGATCAGAAGGAACAAAATATTGTCAAGTTCAACAAGACGGGGTTGGTTAGCTATTCATTTTATCTAACTACCGATTCTACTCCATTTGAGAGGCACTGGATGATAAGAGTTTTCGCATGGGGTTCTCGGTTAAGCCTTCTCGATATATCCCTTTGAGCTTTTTAGCTTTTCTTTTATTTTACCTCCTTATCGGTTCTTATCACTGATGCTGATTTATAGCATTACGCAGCTGATTTTATAGCTTTCTGCTAAATAAGTATTATTCTGTTTTATTTATTCCACTTTTTCTCTCCCTATTTTATTACTAGGAACAGTTAACTTTAACATTTCCTCTGTGAGATAACTATTCATTAATACAATGATTAGGAACCTTATGTTATTTCTCGTTCTAATAGATCGTTCGAATAGTTAGAATAAGTGATAAGAGAGAAATCTAAACGATTTCTGTAATTTTTCTTATGAAATTCGAAATGCGTCAGAACGATGCATCCCATAAACTTTGTATTAGTGACAGCCCGACATATATTATGATAGGTATATCCTGGCAATTAGCTTATCGAGTATTTCTAATCGAATGTTTTATCATGTTTCTTGTAGAAGTAGTCAAAAATGAGCTAGTAAGAAAGTTCATTGCCATAAATGGGATGTATAAATTATACAAATGCATCATGCATAAGATAATCCTGAAATCTCTTAAAATGTAAAATCAACTTGTTAGTATTTTATTTTGATGGAAATCTTCAGCAAAGGATATCCGGCAATATTATTTGCTAATAATATAGAACTACAGATATATAATTGTTTGACAGATCTATGAATGGGATGTTAAGTGGTGTAATATTAGTTTTTTTTCCGATCTAAACAAAGTTTATTTGTTATGGTAAGTCACAGATAATAGATGGATATCTCGTGTCAGGATTGTATTTAAATAAATATTTGACGTATGCATCTTTTTTCGTGATCAAGATTGTATCGGATAGTTACTAGGTTTAAGTGAAAAGTAGGAAATTGAAAGAACGATTATCTGGAAATGTATTGGGTTGGCAATTAAATGAGTATGGTTACACTTTAATAAAAACCTACAAGTGTATTTATTTTAACACCTTCGCTTAGTTGAAAACCCGAATAATTAGCACATCTTAATATCAATTAAAAATTTAAACACAAGAATATTTATTTTCTCGATATTTTTCATTCTTTATTAATTTGTTTTCGTTTCGTTTACCAAAAGAAACATCCCCTCCTGAATCTTTCTCACTTTCATTCCTACTTATAAAGAGGAAGAATCACTTAATTGCCAACCCAATATACGAATTGAGAGAGAGAATGTTAAATAAAAGAGAGAAAAGGATGTCGTTAAGGAAAGATAGAAAAGAAACGTGCGGTTCTAGGGAGTTGTAATGACAACGATATGACTTGAGAAGGATAGCAAGAAAGAAAAAGGGGAAAAGGTGAGAGAGTAACAGAGAGAAAGAGAGAGAGGAGGAAAAGAACCAAAAGAAATGGAAGGAACGTCGAAGTAGTTGGTAGGAGAGTAGTGAAACGATAGAAAAATAAAAAGAAAAAAAAGAAAAAGAGAAAGAGATAGAAGGTTGTAGAGAAGGTAAAGTAGAAGGGAGAGGAAGAATGGAGGAGAACGGTCATTGCCACCACCTTGCCTCGAGTCGGTGGTAGAGTCCCAATCAGCGTGAAAAGCGAGGAACCTGCTATGGTCTACCAAAGAGAATTGCCCCACACTTTAGTCGAGCCTTTTGTATATTTACAGTGTCGTGTCGGATGAGAGCTAAGGTAAAGAAAGAGAAAGAGAAAGAGAAAGAGAAAGAAATAAAGAAAGAAAGAAGAAGAAGAGTAGAAAGGAAGGAAAAAGGTAGGGAGGCGCCTGCAGGAGAAGGAATGGTGCCTTGTGAATCGGATTCGTGCACGGGGAGTCGAGTCGAGTCAAGAGCAAGATCGAGACAGCACCGACGAACCCAGGTGCTCGCTGATCCACAACTTGCGAGAGAAGAGAGAGAGAAAGACGGAGAGGCCAAACCAGTTTGATACACCGTCAAGAGAGAAAGAAGAGTGACCGGTGTAAACGAAGAAATACTCGCGAGAACGCATCCCAGGGTTCGTCTTCAACAAACGCGAAACTCTCTATACATATATTCATATACCATATGTATATAATTAATCTCTCTCACTCTCTCTCTCTCTCTCTGTTTTTCTCACTTTGGGTCAACCTGATCGTAAAAGTGTTTATTTTCTTTTTTAAATTTTTCGACGGATTATCATTAGTGATTGCATATTAAATTTGATTGTTGTTGACGTATGCCGAGTCACGTGTAGTCGAATAACACAACGCGCGCTTAATGTAAGATAGTTCTTGGTGAGTCAACTAGGAAGATCTTGGGTTAAGAAGATCCAAGAAGATTCTTCAAAGATAAAAGGAAATTTCAGCTAAATTTCTCTTTCTTTCTTGGCTGCTTACTTGTTCCGGTAGGATGACCCAAGTCTGACGGAGAATCAACAGTGTCATCCGCGATAATCTAATTCGTCGGCTGATATCGATCGAGGTAAGATTCTGAATCTAATTCATGGTTTTTATAGATTTAAAACTAACACTACGATATATGAAGAATATCTTGTTCGAAAGATTGATTAATGATTTTCAAATTGATATCTAATGACAATTAAATTAACGATTATTTGAATTTATTTAAATGGATGAGTGTGCTTCTTCAATAAAATTTATTTCATTAAATTCTGTTTTACGCGTGTAGTTTTTTATTTTTCGCGAAATTTCTCTGAACAGTTAGAATATATATATATATATTTTTATTTATTTATCGTTTCAAATCGATGAATCCCAAATGATAACAACTGCGTGGGATTGAAACGAACAACAACGGAAACCGCTCCAATTCGTTACTTAACAATCAATTAATATTTCTTGGGTGATCGCTCTTGTTGTTGGTAATTTGATTTTTCATTATTTTTTTGTTTTGTTTTTGATCGTATAGCCAGCTACGAAAAATGTCTCCTCTGAAAATGGTGTTTCATTTAGTTTAAATATTCGTTTGAAGTGGTACAGTCGAAAGAACAACCAACTAACGTCAATTAAACAAAACAACGTGTTTGAATTATAAACGTTCTGTTGAATCTTCGAAATGAATCGAGTTTCGATACGTTCTCGATGTTACGCACACCATACACCAACGGAGTTAGCACGACGACCAGGTAAACCGTATGTCGTTCACGAATAGCGGTACCATACTCTTGCTTGCCCCTTTCAAAGTCGAATTCGACTTTCACGAGTTGAACAGAAAGAATGGTGGTATTTCCTTCATTACGTTAGGTATCATTTTCTTCTCTCCTCTTCGATGTGATTCCTTCTTCATACGTAATTCATGAAAGAGATTTACACCGTAAAAAAATTCTTTTCTCTTTATTTACGACCTTTTTCAATTTATTACTAACAACCTATACACCTAAATATCTATCTATCTATGTATGTATGTGCGTATAATTCAGAGAGACACGTGTGCATATAATACACTTACATAAACAACCATAGCTGCATTTCATTTAAATTTCATCGATCCACGTATCACCGATCATGCTTTTATGTTAGTAATTTACGATAAAAGGTTAATTGAAATTTAACGGTCCTACATGTTTCGGCTTGAAATTAAGAGAAAGAAATAGAGAGAGATAGAGAAAGAAACAAAAAAAGCAGCTCTGATTTTCATCGAAAGAACTGTTCTTTCACAGTGGCAACCCACATGTCTCGCGTTCGCATTAGATACGTGCGTACAAATGAAAGTGGCGTGTACCGTTAACTCTTCCTCGAGCTGTTATTCACGACCGAACGTTTTTTTTTCTTTTTTTTCTTTTTTTTTTTGTCCAAATACGTGAACCTCGTCTTTAATAGTCAAAAAAAGAGAAAAAAAGAATAAAACTTAGAGGTTAATCTATCAAATAGATTTTCATCTAATTGCAAGTTAAAATGGGGGGTTTTTTTTTTTAAATTCCAGAAATATAACTGTTGAGATTTGGTCGAGATGGTATGAGAAAATAAGAGGAATCTTGTAACCTGACCATCGACAAGCCGTAAGGCTTGGCTCCGGTATTCGTTGCTTCATCCAGCCGAATTAATGCCTCAGGATAACTGTAACGGTTTTTTTTTTTTATCATTTCCTCTTCGTAAACAAGAGCAAGTTTTAATACGTTGATTTAACAATTAACTATCCACCATTGCGCTCCCTTATTTTTATCTTCGACACATTTTTCTTTTTTTTTTTCTTTTTCAGTAAATTTCATGAAAATTTTGATAGAACTCGAATCCGATACTGTGTTACACACTTGTTGGTTGATCGTGTCTACAAATATCAAACTATCATAACATATTGTTCATTTGAGCTTTTTTCAATGATTCTTTGATTTGGACAATGCTATCACTTTCAAACATCTCATTAAACCCGTTACTCCGTGTTTTGTTACATGTGGGTCAACGTATTCGAACGATGAATATATGTATGTGTATGTATGCCTCTAGCATACTCTAGACTCACGTTTAGCGTTAGAAGAACACCCGATCGATCTAAGTCGACCCTGGAATAACAGTATCTCGGCCCTCAATATACATATCTTCATAGTGGAAGGACGCATTTTAATTTACCTGACCATCGACAAGAGTGTTCACTGAGAATCACTTGATCTAAAACATGATCGATTAATCTAATATCTACGATGGATGGATTGATGTATTCATTTCCCCTCCTCCCCCTCGCCACCCCCATTAATTTTCAGATTTAACAAATATCATGTATACTATCGAGACTTTTTTTTTCGTATATTATTCCATTTAAAAATCTTCGATTTGTTTCAACTTCAAATTGAAACGCTAAGACAATGGAAATGATGTTTTTCTATTTTATAATTTGGGTTATTTAGAAATTTGTTAAAGTGAATAATTGAAAGGAGACTTTTTGTTATTCCTGTTAATAGATTCATTTGTACATTAAATTTTCGATAAAAAGTTTAAGTAACAAGAGATCGATGTGATTCTAAATTCTTTGTTCGTTGAAATTGAAAATAGTTTGATGAAAAATGGCCGGAAACAAAACAGTTGTCTTGATCGACCTCCTTCTTCCTCCTTCGGTATCATCATCGTCGTCATCATCGTCGTTGTCGGTTCAACGTACCATCGACCTGCTGAATGATCGCGCCAAACGAATGTCTTTCTCGTACCGGTCATTGAACCTTACAACCTTGTAAGAATCTTTGCCATCATCGTGCAAATTTCTCGATTAAAAAATACTCTCGCTGATTATGATAAGTATCTCGTTTGAAAAAGAAAAAAACACAAAAGAAACCAAGCAGAAATAAAAAAAAAAAAGAATGAATGAAAAAAAAACACGTTGTTCTTTGGATGATCTCTTTTATCTGTTAGGTGCTCGATCTTTTTTTTACTTGGATGGATCAACTTTTGTTGGAGATCGATCTGCTTTCATTTATCATCGATTCCTTCTTTATATACTTCCCAAATATATATATATGTAATGTAACTCTTTGTATATAGATTACGTAGTTTAAATATTAATGAAATTGAGATCGATGTTCTTTCATTTTCAAGGCTGACGAGTGGGGGGCTCATGATAGATGTCCGTTTTAATTCGAAAATAAAATTAAAACTTGTATCATTTTTTTGGAGTATGTTTTTTCTTTTTTTTTTCCTGAGAATAAATTATTAGAAATTTTTGAAGGAATAGGATAGAAGAGTATTCTTGATAGACACGACGAGGGAAAGTCAAGAAACTTGAGTGACTACTACTACTACTCGCAGGATGTCGTACGATATATTTGAAAAAAAAAATACGCGTATATATTTGAATATGTGTATATTCATATATATTAAAAAAAAAATACGCGTATATATTTGAATATGTGTATATTCATATATATGTACATTTGCATGAGATTATGTCGTTGCCATGATTACGAACGAACGTACGAACGAACGAACGTACGAACGAACGAACGAACGTACGAACGAACGAACGAACGAACGTACGAACAAACGAACGACAGATCGCGTGGATAATCTCCTGGGAATATTCTCAGGAATATAATATCACTAGAAGTGATTGACGTTGTTCTATGTCACGGTCGAGGAAATCTACATATTATTAACTTTCTTACATACATTCCATTCAGCTTATTATTACAAGTTCGATGACTTATAATTTTTTTATTTTCTTCTCCTCGTTGCTATGATTATTACTAAAAAATTTTCTAATCATTTATTATACTGCTATCGATAAAAATATTATCAAAGATAAATCCGTAACGAAATGAGAAGAATAATATTTCTATAAGCAAGGAATAAAAATGTTAAAAAGAAAAATAAAACAAATCTATATGCCTATTTCATTTCCTATTTCAGATGTGGAGTCATCGCAGATTAAGTTGGATCATCATTTCGCTTTGTAGCGTTTTGATACACGTCACGATAGCCAATCCCATTTACGTTCCACAATTTTTACCAAGTAGTAAGTACTTCATTATTTTTCTACTCTATTTTTTATAAGCTATTAAAATATTTATAAAAAAAAAAAATAAAAAATAAAATAAAATATTGAATAGCGCACAAATTAAAGTTAATTTTAAATCATTTAAAAAATAATAGTCAAATAATGTTAACCCGTAATAAATATTCAAAGAAATTCGTAGTAATATTATATAGTTTCGTCATTCCAATAAGATACATGTCATAAGGGTGACCTAAAAATTATCAATGAACGGTAATGGCAAAGGAAAGACTTATATCTTGGATTTTCCTCGAACGCGTCAGCTGACTAACGGACCGCTAAACAAATACCTTCGACATGGCCACCACGAACATCATGAATGCTTTGCCCACCTTTCGTATCGTCTGAGTTAATGTTTGTCTGCATGTGTGTGTACGTACGTGCGTGTGTTATACACGCGTGTATAGAAACACGTGTGTATTTCACTGTCTGTTCATATCATGGAGACGACATTGAACCTATCTTGGATTCGTATTTGAACGGAACGTGGGCGGACTGGTCAGTGTTCTATGTAAATAAGTAGGTCAGTCTCGGTCATCAGAGTGCATGACTTGCACTAATTTTTTCTATTTTTTCATCTACGATTCTTTTAGCACTCTCCTTGTTTCACACAAATCCTTTCTTTACAATAATTTTGATCGAAGATACATTTTTTTATGTTTACCAAATATTTATCTTACTTGCTAATGAGTTTATTTTAACATAAATTTTATATTTGCACCAAGGAAAATAATAATAATTATATATCCAACAAAAAAATTTCAACGATACGATACGAAGTACATCGAGATAGAAGTTAGTACCGTTAGAGATATTGAATTCACAATTCAAATTTTGAAATCGTATAGCGTTATTTTAGAATGATACTATTTTACTATAAATATTATTAGATTCTATTCGTATAACTGCCGATGCTTAGAGTATCGATTTCCGACATTACACTTTGTATATAGATACAAGCATATAACATTTGCCATTTCAACGAAATGATTTTCGAGTAACGTAACGATCGTGTTTAACTATCTATAAAGTTAAGATATCATTTGGGAGATGCACATAATTCTCTCATTCCCTAAAAACAACTTACGTTTCTATAAAAAGGAAAAAAAAAAAAAGAAAAAAAGAAATCATTCCAAAATCAAAAGTTTATTATCGACAATAAAATCGATTTCACGATATCGAAAATTAAACGCTTTGATGGTAGCAATTTCCACTGTATAACATTATAAAGAAAAGAAGTTAGAAAAATTTAAAGGATCAAAAGATTTGATATTTAATAAAAACGAAAATAACGAATGTGGTTATTATCCACGACGATAGTTGGTAATAAATGAACGATCGAAGAAAGTTATATAGCAACGCGTCTTGGCCACTTTGGTGCTCGTAAAGGCGATAAAAAAGGGAAGACACTTTCCTACGATGGTAAAAGACAACACGCATCGAGTGAAATCCTTTCAAACGCGAACTCTCGATCGCGTGGGTGATATACACGTACACATAACATGCATACATATATACAAATAGTAGTGAATCTGTTGGGATCGTGTTATGTTGTATAATACATATATGTATGTATGCATGTATGTATGTATGTATATACGTGTGGCATACTAGCTTAGTATGGTCACGCCTGAAATTCTGCTAAGCGGATACGCATAGTAGTAGTATAGTAAATGTATTAGTATGGTCGAAGGTGATAGGTATGTTAAAAACCTAGCTGAAACTTTCTTCCGAGGTTCTGACTCATCGAAACGACATTTCCGCTAACACAGATCCTCTCTTTCTCTTTCTTCTCTTTCTTCTCTTTTTGTCATTCTTTCTATTTGAGGAAGGACAATCGAGTAGGATTTATTTGGTAAAGGCTAAAGGAAGGAGGAACCGATTGATTAACCAACAAATTAATTAAATGACCAACTGACCTCAAAACAAACATACCGTATCGCTAATTATTTTAAAACACTATTTTTCTTGTCACATGTACATTAAACCAAGAGAAAAAGAAAGAGAGAGAGAAAGAGAGAAAGAGTTGCAAAAGAAAGTAAAGAAAAGTGTAACGCTCTAGGAACTCGATTATTTCTCGTACACACGTACTCTTTGTTTATTAGATAATTATTTCCCCGTTTTATTAAAATGTTCAAGAGAAAGGGATTAATGTTTAATCTAATTTGATTTACCGAATCTTGATTGATTTATATTTTTTATCGTTCCAAAAATTATCTTGAAATTTGGACGAAATTTAATCGAATATTTTTTTTTTTTTGACGTTATATTACTTGCTAAATGCGAACGAAAAGAATATAGAATTTTAATTTCGCGATATGAAAATATATTATATTTTAAAGGAATCCGAACCTGTTACTAGATTTAAATTGATCTAGATTTGATCTATACTTTTAATCATTTTTTTTTTTTAAATTATCTTGGAGTTTGGACGATATCTCCGTAGAAGTAAAAATTCGATAAAAATCACGAATTCCGAAATAACGTAAAAAATGTTTTAAAGATTAGATATTAATGTATATATTCTTTAACAATGCGTTTCTTTGAAGGTGTATGAATCAAAAAATAAATAATTATTCAAAAATATCGTTCAAATCATATCAAAAATTCGAATAATGTATCTAAATCTATCGTACAAATCAATTTTATCTCAAAAAGCATTATATAATGAATTGTATCAATCTTTTATAATCACGTTTTTGATCACTTATCGCGCGATTTAACGATTATTAAAATATATTGAAAGTCGAAAAAGTCAATGTACATCTTTTTTTATGCTTACCGTGCTTAATTATATTGAGTAATATAATATTATTGACGTTTGATATTCATATTTTGTTATGCACGTGGCCACCGACGCATTCTACTATGTGTTCTCTTAACGGAGATTAAAAATCTAGGTCAAAAGAAATAATAATAGATTACAGTTCAAAATATATTTTTCAAAGATTTCTTATCCCAAATTTCTATCATCTTCAAACGTGTCACGTCACATCGTTTAATAGTTTGAAACGATAACATCATATCGATAAATATTACTGATAAATAATTTCTTTACAAAGGAGAAAAAAGGAAAGCAATGATGTGCTTTTATTATTACTTGTTCGGCAAAAAATATATACTTGAGAATGCAATAATTCTAGAAGCATCCTGCAGAGATTAACGTAAGCTCGCAAACAAAGTACTCATGAGAAATACAATATCTTTCTTTTTAGAAAAAAATGAGAAAAGTCCATATCTTGTCTAAACACTTATCGAAAAGATTAGTTACTATTTATTAAATAATCAATTTCTAATTTGTCATTTTGTGTAATCCATATATATACATATGTTTCTAAAATATTATAACATTTAATAAATTAAAATATATATATACTTAATAAAAAAATTACTTTACTTTTTTAGTCGACTAATCGTACATTGAGTGTGTAATTATTATTAATAGAAATAAATGTTTTACGTCACCGAAAATTCTTTATCAAAAGAAAAAAAAAAAAAAAAGAAAAAGATATATATATATATAGACCCTAATGTAAAAGCATTGTTTCTCGTTTAGATTATCTCAATTAGATAAATTAACTCGTTCAAAGTTCATCTATTCTTAAACGATGAGTTTAATGTACCTACACGTTTTTCATCACCGCGAATTACGATAAATCATTGTCTGAGAATTTTGTTCGTCGAATGAATCAGACATTGGTAGACAAAAAGGTACAAATTAAATTTAAATCGATCATTAATTATCCTATATAAATTTAATTTTTAGTTAAATTGCGTAACAAGGATAAACAATATTGAAAGATTAATACCGATCACTAGACCTCATCTAATCTCAATCTCACCTTTCAAGATATTATCATTTTTCTTAAGAGTAGAGAAACAAAACGGAAGATTTCTTTTGATAAGCACAACATTGTTTACGCGATTATTTTCTATTTAAAAAAATATATATATTTGTAATAGATTTCTTATTATAATATTAAAAAATAAATAATAAAGATCTAAAATATATAATTCTTCTTTTTTTTGGGGGGGAAGGGGGAGGAAAAAAGATTTGACATAATTTTTCACGTAAATATATACGATATCTATTCTCGGAGAACTTAGCCTACAGGTATGTCGATTTAATCGTCTGGGATACCTCGAAGATGCTTTGGAATGCGCTCAGTGGTTTCTTTGGCTTTGTAAGATGAGAAAGATAAAAAGAGGAAAAGGAAAAGAAAGAAAGAAAGAGAGAAAGAGAGAGAGAAAAAGAGAGAGGGACCAAGATTACGAGGTGGTGCCTTGGAAGGAAACGAGTTGTTACATTGGGCTATGACTATGACCCACTTTGTGACTCGGGTAACTAGCTCATACATCGAAATTTAACGGTACCCAGATGCTTCCATTCGCCTGACATCAATTCCTTCCTTCCTTCGATAATAATCCATGCTACTTCGTCGTCGTTCTACGTAACGCACCAACAACGCCATGAATTTTTATTTTCATTCGTGTCGTTCTAATTTCACGTACAGTATTTACTTACGATCGTTCGATAATATCAAAAAAAAAAAAAAAAACTCGTTACGATGAAAATATTTAGAACATCCTAGTTAAAGAATTTCGATCAGTGACATAAATCTTTTTTTTCTCTATTATTCGATAAAATATTTTGTAAAAACTATCAAGCCTCACGAATTCACCTGATAAAACTAATTGATGAGCGTACTTTTATTGACATCTTTAATATAAATGTACTCTCTGTCTTTTTTTTCTTTCTTTTCTTTTCTTTTCTTTTCTTTTCATATTATTCAACCAGTCAAAGAAATAAATAATTTAAATAGAATTAATTTGACGATGATGTTGTGTCCTATTTTAGTATTTATTTTCAAATATCTCTTATTTTAACATCCACATTTAGCTATCTTTTCTATGATTACATAATTGAATTCCCAAGTATAATAATCATTTAATGCTCGTCTAATGAATGTCCATCGATAATAGCCTATTCCCTTTCATCAAAATAACATTGTCTGCTATCTATAAGCTAGGCGAGAATGTAACATATTGAATGGAAACTTATTGTTAGTTTGAAGAATCGATCGATAATAAAACGAAATACTCGCCAAGCTCGATTACCTGCCAACGATATATATATTCTTCATTATCTTTTTTTTTTTGTTTTATAAATAAGATTTTTCTTTCACAAGTTTATTCGATCGATCGTCTAAAGATGGAGCTTTTATTATCGTCAGTCGTTAAAATTGTATACGATATTTATTTTCTTATTTGACTGAATTTTTCGAAACATTATTGAGAAATAAATTGTACGAGTACAAAATTTAATTACCAAAAATTCTATTGCACATTTAAATGACGTAAATAAATAATTAAACGCGCGTGAAATATTTAATATACTTGACCTTGCCCTAATACGTTAATTATAATGTTATCAATGTATGTCAAGATCGCATACTAATAGTCTTATTTAAACTACGTAAGGATAATAAAGCAAATGCAACTAAAAACACGTTTTAGAATGAAGATTAGATATCTGGGTTATAAATGCTTCCGTATTGATTTTCTTTCTCTTTCTTTATCTCACTATTTTCTCTTTTTGCATTGAAGTGTCTCCTATAACTGTGCATTTTCCCTATAACGCGTTATATATTTTAAACATGAAATACAGTTCATTCGCGTATCTCTCTCTTATGCTTGCGGTCGTTCATAATTTCATCCTTGATGATTCTAAATGCATTCCATTGATGCTGCATATCATAATCTTTATACAGATGATGAATAACAGGAAACTACCATGTAATCGGTTAATAATCGAGCAAGAGATTACATTACAATTAGAAGAAGGAAGAAAATAAAAATAATGCAACAGATTTTTCTAATAATAAAAAAGAAAATATGTAACTGGTCTCTTCTGGATTGAAAAAAAAGGAATTCAACTCTTGCAAACACAAAATTATTCTACACATAGAGAAGTGATTTTTAAAAAAAATGTACAATATGTAAAAAAAAGTCATCTAACCTTGCGTGAATTTATTTTCAATTGATGCTTCTTTCTCACGACGATTACTATTCTAATTATCAAATAATTTGTTTCGTATTTTTATTTTTATTTTTATTTTCTTTTCTACTTCTCTAGGTACTGGAAGAAACATTCGACATTTGCCATGCGTGTCACGTAGATCAGGCGAGACCGGAATTTGCATGTTTGCGTTCACTTGTGCAAAAGCGAACGGCACGCATCTTGGAACATGCATCGATCGTTTCTATTTCGGTAGTTGTTGCAAGATCGACGAAGAGCCGGACGTTGGACCTCAAGACAACAGCATCGACGATGGACCGCCAGCAGCGTCAAGGCCGTTCATCACTACTCACAGTCCTATCGAGAGCAATGACATACCCCCATATTTTCCAAGGCCAAAGCCTAATGACCAAAGCAAACCATCTGGTACATTCACCACAGTGGTAAGTTCGTAATTTTTCGTTTCTATGATTTTACAATGGATGGAAACTCATCAGATTCCAATTTGAAATCAGAAATAGATATCTCACAGTTATATATACTAATTGCAACAAAAAAAAACCATAATTACCCTTTTAAAACTATTCAAGGTATGACAGAAAACGTGACTCTAATTGTCATGTTTTGTATTATCGAAATGAGGAAGTTATTTAAAAAGGAAGGTTAAATCTAATGAGGTTAATTACAAAGATCTGGGATTTCCTGAATAAATATAATATACGATGTGGTAGATTTAACAATCTCTAATTAAATCGATCTACATTGTTTCGCAGGCTACTACGATCACTCAAGCTACGCAAAGTACAAAAAGTACATTGGATCCACAGATAGGTAGTACAAAGATTGTTACGAAGAAACCTACGATACAGACTATAGAAACAACGACCCAATCGATTCGTTTATCGACTTTCCAAACAGTTCAAAATAGCTCCTATGAAAAATTCACTACAACTGTACCATTTAAAAATGTCACTAAGATTTCAACAGAAAATACGAATTATTCGTCAAATATGTCTAACAATTCGACTATTCCTAATAAATTATCAGTTGGTATTACAACTCAGAAGCCAACAGTTCCTTACAAAATATCGACTTCAGTCGCAACGAAAAGACCAATTGTTGGTACGTCGAAACCAACGACGAAAAAACCCTTACATACGAGTACTCAAACGACGAGTACTCAAACGACGAGCACTCAACGACCGATACAAACGACCACGTCGAAAATTATTATTACAACTACACAAAAGATTGTACCTTCTACAAGATTTCCACCAAGAAATACAACATCGGTCAAGCCGGTGACTCAACAATCTACCAAGAGACCATCTATCGGTAGCACAAAAAGACCCCTCACCACAAGCACGAAAAGGCCTACCTTGTCTACCAAAAAACCAACTCTACCTACTAAAAAACCAACGACTGTTCCAGCAAATTCTTCGATCGGTTCCAGTCATGGTACAACGGCAACGACGACAACGACAACGACAACAGCATCAATTTATTCGACGTCTAATAAAGTGAGACCAACGTTCACGACAATTGAAAATAATCTTTTATCTTCAACCGAAGAGATGAAGGTAACTTCAGCAACGGAAACTACAGATTTCGTAACTCGAAAACCGATTACAATTACCACCACCGAGAAACCGATTTATCATAAAATCACGATTAAACCAAAACCAACGATTTCTAGGCCAGTTGTAACAACAGTGATCAGTACGAAACCTACTAAAATCAATACAATAATAACTACTGATAAACCCGAAACATCTTTTACCACAGAAAAGACTATTTATCAAAGTTCAGCCAGTAATTCAACTTTGGATATCAGCAAGCTAAAGCCAACTGAGAGTCCAACTAAGACTACGATAAAGCCTATTAGGATCACAACACCTAGCTCAGTCTCTATCGATAGCTTCATTAGTTCCTCTTCTTCGAGTGTATCTACTCAGAGTACTACTACAACAAGCAGCAAGATATCTTCTATCAACCAGACTTTTGAAAAAGTTCCACAAACTACCCCATCATCTGGTTTGGTCACATGGTCTTCTCATTCCGACGAGACACCCACTAAACCATCCGACGTTTTATCGACAACCAAGATACACGATGGTAAGTTGAAATTATTATCCTGAATATATGAAAAATTATTAATTATACATACATGAATATGTGCATAACAATAATTATCTAATTTTTAACAATTTTTATATTAATAACATCTCCCTGATATTATTACAATCCAATGTAGAAAATCAGCTTATGTAATGAAAATACATTTTGCATTTCCGCTTACGTCCTTTCTCAACGTACACTCATTGTGTAACTAAAACTCTCTTGTCGTCAATGGTGAATTACTCTCGCAGAGAAATTCACGACGAAGCGTTATTATACATTTCGCATTAATCAGCATTCAGAATAGTGAATATCCGAGAAAATTTGATTGATTGCTTGGGATATCTATCGCATTCTCCACTCATGTTTCCTTCCTTTTCATAATGTTCTCTTAATCGTACGGATAAAATGGAAACTTACGATCTATTGTGATTCTTCATTGTTTGTTAATTGAGAAACACCATATTCCGAAGTATTTTTAATTATTCTTGTAATTTCAATTATATTATCAATCTAAAGTATCGCATAGAAGATTTGAAAATAATCGAATTTGAACTTTTTTTACGGAATTAATCATAAAAAATCTAAAGTTTCGATCACGTAACGTATCATTTATATTGATGTGAAGCTTCTTGAGTAGAATGATTGAAACATCATTCTATTTTTAGAAGAAGAAACGCGCGAAGGATACGAGTTATGTTCATGAGATATTCTCAAGGAAAACTATACATTGTTTTATTCTTATCATGAACAAGTAATTAAGTTTATCATCGGTAATGTTGAATTTGCAAAAAAATGATTTAAATTATTAATTTTATTTCTGATTGGCTATTGTATTTCGACTGGTTCAAGGCCAGTTTGTCGAGCTAGATCAAGATCAAAAAAGAGGGTCGATGTAGCAAATGGGTTAAAGAGACATTTCTCTTCATCTCTTTTTGTTTCTCTCTTTAGTACATTTAACAGCATCGTAAGAGAAGATAAAACTCTGTACATCGGACTGGGACGTCGTAACGGTTTAAACCATCCACCGTAATTTCTCTTCTCTCTTTTCCTTTCCATCCTGTCTCTTCTTTCACGATTCCTATCTAACCGTCTAAGAGCCAATCTAAGTCATTGTTAGCTCAACGGAATCTATTTCTTACCGAGGATTTAATATTCTATATTTTACTTTAATAGATATTTTTATTCTAACATTGAGAAATCTTTTATTTCAGGAATAACGGAAAACGAATGGACACCTATAACCACGCCGGATGGTTGGGTAATGATCCAATCACCACCGACGACTGCTGAAACATCCTCGGGAAATCCGGAAAGCTCTACGATTAAATTGCAATCTGTATCGTCCACTACATCATCATCTACCACACCTGGTAATAACAAAATAATCTTTGATATTTATGTATAAATTCTTTTGTTCTAACTGCAATTGAATATTTTATTTAATATATATATATATCCGAAAATTTGTTAATAATAATTTCCTATAAATGATTTAGTGAGATCAACAACGGAAACTACAACGACGACGGAACAAGTTACGGAGACGTCAACGGTTCTAACTACTTTGTCAAACCTTGCAACTATTTCTGTTGATACGGAAACCCCGATATCGATAGAAACTTTAAATATGTCGGACTATAAGCAAGGTTATTATGCACAATCATTTTACACGATAATTTAGAATTTTTTTTTATTTTCCTACCAAAGATATAAAGTTAGATAAAAGTGAAAAATATTAGAGATGGCTAAGAAGAATATCACGAGTGGATGCACCGATTGTTTCTTGTTCTCTTGTTTACTTCCTACACACTTTTCTTTATTTTCTCGAAGAACACGAGAGCTCTCAGCGGGGAAGAGATTTTTTTCACGAGAAACGATCCGTCGAGTATATAAATTGAAAATGTTGATATAGAGGAATGGGGAAGGGGGGAATATATATATATATATATACTTATGTAGCCAATGAAACGTTTCGTTCACATTTAAAGAACGTAGAGTGGGTTGAGAGAAAAAATAAAAAGAAGCACGTGACTTATACCGGTTCATCCAGTCGAATGAATTCAAGCACGTTCTTGTTCTCCAACATGGCCGTCGTACAAACGACGACGACAACGACTACAACGACGACGACGACGACGACGAATTACCACGCGAATCTCTTCAAAGCTGTAAACTCAACGATACTTCTGCTTGCAGTTTGCGGAAGGAGAATATTTCCCGAGTCGAGGATCGTGGGTGGCAGTCCAAGTACGTTTGGCAAATGGCCCTGGCAGGTGAGTTGATTGAAAAAAATAATAAAACATAAAAAAAGAAAGATACAAAGTTCTCATCTTTATTTCACAATTTTTTTTCGTTACGTTTAATTCCTAAAGAAAGAAAAAAAAAAAAGAAAAAATAAGATGGAAGATAAAAGAAGACAACGTTGTGATCGACTAGAAGATAGAATAGCTTTTAGTTTTCCTCATTTCTAGGAAATGTCTACCTCAATGTTGTTTGTTCATTTTCTATCACGATCAACGCATCGTACAATCTAATTTAATCAACAGACACCCTATTGTTATCCAGGAAAATGTGAATTTCAAAGATTGCTTGTTTTACAGATCTCCTTACGTCAATGGAAGACGTCAACTTATTTGCACAAGTGTGGAGCTGCTTTGTTAAACGAGAATTGGGCTATTACCGCAGCGCATTGCGTTGAAAAGTGAGTGCGTAACGTTTTTTCATCTTACTTATATGTACTCCTAGTTAGTCTTTTATCTGTTCAATTTCATTTCAGCGTATCTCCGGCAGATTTATTATTGAGGATTGGTGAACATGATCTAGCGAACGAGGAAGAACCCTATGGGTTCCAGGAAAGGCGAGTACAAATCATTGCGAGTCATCCACAATTCGATCCAAGAACATTTGAATACGATCTAGCACTTTTGAGATTTTACGAGCCACTTCCGACTTTCCAGCCAAACATTTTGCCGATTTGTCTTCCGGATGACGATGAAACTTACGTTGGTCGTACGGCTTATGTTACTGGATGGGGAAGACTTTACGATGGTACAAAAAAACTTTCTTTTTTCTGTCTTGTCATTACAAAAAAAAAAAAAGAGAAAAAAAAACTTTGATAAACTGTATCTTCACTTTGATATCTAATGTATATTATTAAATATTTTTGAACGATAAATTTATAGAAGGTCCATTACCATCGATCTTACAAGAAGTTGCAGTACCGGTTATAAATAATACGATTTGCGAATCTATGTATAGAAATGCCGGTTATATCGAACACATACCACATATCTTCATTTGTGCTGGATGGAGAAACGGTGGTTTTGATTCATGCGAGGTAAGATATGAATAAAGAACCAATGTAATAAATCTTTTTCCCCCTCTCTCTCTCTCTCTCTTTCTCTCTCATAATGAATTTATTAAATGATACATCAAATTGATATGTTTTTAGGGTGATAGTGGTGGTCCGATGGTAATTCAAAGGGCACGAGATAAACGATGGATTTTAGCAGGAATTATAAGTTGGGGAATAGGTTGTGCTGTACCAAATCAACCTGGCGTTTACACGCGTATTTCCGAATTTCGCGAATGGATCAATCAAATTTTACAATTTTAATTCGATCAATGGAAAAGTGCGAACGCGCAAAATCTACGAATGGCCTGTGCAAACTGGACGAACTTTGATCTCCACAGGAGGACTAACAAAAAAAAAAAAAAACAAAAAGAAGGAAAAATTCGTAGCTAGGATTTCGAATTTGCCGGTAAAGTGAAAATAATCGTGAAACGCGTTTACGGATGCCACCTGACGTTAATGTTTCGAAATCGCGAAAAAAAACGTTGGATAAGTGAGCTATCTGTACTACCAACAGCGACGTTATTTTACAACGAAAGTTAAGATTTGTACGATATGTGGCGTCACGTTTTCTAATCTGAAGTGAATCTTGACGTCTTCGTTTTCCCTCAAAATCGCGCCTTTATTCGAATATCGACCGAAGGATAAGTCTAATTATCGTGTGTTTTTTTTTTCTTTTTTTTTTTTTTTAATTACAAGTTAAACGTGCAATACAAATGGATGAAGAAAAAAAATTAGATGATATTCTTTTTAAAATTTGTTATTTTCCTTTAATTGAAAAACAAAAGGAAAAAAATTTAACATAGGTGATAAACTCGAACACGCTTCGGGCTAAATGCAATAATGTCGAATGGAAAAGTGCTATGTGACAGCGAGATAATAAATCGAAAATGATTTTTCATATTTACACTTCGATATCAATTGATGGACTTAGCAACGTATCTGGATATTGATGAGCAATGATATTCACTCGAGCATATTTTATAATATTTAAAATATCCGAGAGGAAAAGTTATTCCCGATAATGGTTTTATTTGCATACGTGGAACTGATAGTTACGCGCTTCATTGAACTCGATTTATATGCAATAATTCTTCTCGAATAGAATATTTTTATATATTCCTCGTGTCAAAACTTCGTAAACACGTTTTCTTTTCTTCCTTCCCTTCTATATCGCGATTCTACTTGTTTTTATTTTATTTTTTACACAAAAACTTTTACTCACGCGCGACCTACGATGATTTTTTTTATAGGAAAACAATTAAATATTTTCTATATAAACGTCAACGCCATGAAAAAGACACGTCTCCTCTGATAACAATTAAATTTGTATTCACACGGGGGATGATATGTACGAACGTTAAATCAAATTCATCGTTATTTATTTTACGACTACGACATATAGGAATATTATTGTTTATTCAGAAATTAATGATAGATCACGTATCACGTATCACGATTCATTGCGTACGAAGTAATCCATAAATGGACGAAGTTTATATTAAACAAATTTTATCAGAATTATTAAGTTATTCTTTAGTATACATTAAAATCTCTATTATATTATTTCATCGTAATAACATTTTTTCCCCCAATCAATAGATAAAATAGAATATTTTTCAAAAAGATATATTATTAGTATTACGGAATATTATTGGAGCATTTATTGTACTCCAGAAAATATGAGATTAAATTTCATAGTAAATATTGTTCGAATATGCATACATGTATAAATATGCACAAGATGGACTCGCTCTCTCTCTCTCTCTTTCTCTCTCTTTATTTCTTTCTTTCTCTCCGAATTTTGTATTTACGTATTTTAATATAAATTCGTTGTTATTTAATATTATGCGAAATAATTAATTTACGTTAAAACATACCGCATGATATGTTTCGCATAAAATATAAATATTAATATCTATGAACAGCCAATAGAAAATTAATTCAAACGGTATAATAATAATAATAATAATAATAATAATAATAATAATAATAATAGATCCGTCCTGTACATACATATATATTATATACATAAAAATTATAATATATTAATCATAGACAAATCATTGACTTACGCGAAAATAATTGGCTCGTATCGTAGCAACGGGACAAGCGTTTCGATGTATCGAATACGACGATGAGAATGAAAAAGTGAAAATGTTGGAAAACATCAACGATTTTTATTTCTTTTATGTCTGGCGATTTATCATCGAAACGTTATTTAATTTAATTTATATAAGAGTGACAGACGCGCGAACGTTATAAATAAATAATTTATTAACATCGATGTGTGTGTCAGTTTAAACGCGAGAAAGTCGAACTGCTGTCGTCATTTCTGTAAATAATTTAATTCGTTCGGCATTACACGACTCATCCTCGCGACATTTTTTTTATTATTTACTTTTGTTTTATTTTTTATTTCTATCATTCTCCCTCCCACCCTCCCATCCTCCCTTTTTCTCTCTCTCTTTTTTTACATTATTTTACGTTATCCTTACGTTATTGTGAAAGATTTTTCCCCTTTCCGTTATATTTCTTTTTGTTTATATTCAGAATACGAATTATTAAAAAACAGCGAGACGGATAAGAAAAGAAAAAAAATGATGATAAAAAAAAAAAAAAAAATGAAAACAAGCAAAAAAATTCCGTAGTACGTTTATTATCTTTCCTTAATTTCTTTTTTTCTACTCCTCGTTCATTCGTATCTCCTTTATCATTCAAAGCTCTTCCTTCCTGAATACCTTCCGACTTTATAAATCCCCGTTTCTAAACTTTTTCCTCATCTTTCATTTGGAATTCTTAACGTGGGTAGTGCGAGCCTTGTTTGCACAACTTTACGGTAAACGATTTTAATCGTCAATAGAAATAGCGCCCACCCACAGCAGTCGTAAGTTTTGTTGTAAAACTACCTACGTATTACGTCTATACGTGTGAATGAGAAGCTTGTGTTGTTCGTTATAATTTTCTATAAAAGAGAGATAAAAAAAAAATAAATAAAAATAAAAAAAGAAATGCATTTCCTAGGTCATAGACTTAATGAAAAACCGGTATGTTGTTGTTACACCACCTACGCGACGATTATTTATTTTGTTTATTTTTTATCCTCATATTACGAGATATAATATCGGGTTGACCGGAATATTCGTATGGATTTTTATAAAACGATGTACATAATAATATGAATTTGAATTTGAATTTTTTTCTTTTCTTAACAATTTTGTAAATAAATTACATTTCCTCTTTTATATATCGTATTCTTATTATTCCACGTTAAAGTATTTTATCAACATTTTTCTAAATAATACGTGAATGTACTGTTAATTAAACTGTCGTATACACGCCTAACATTTTATCCCATAACGAAGTGAAGTATTAATGAGAAAATACATATTACGCTTGTTGCCATTATAAGTCGTTCATTTATTGTGTCAAATCTAATAAAAAGACTTCTCGTATGTGTTTATATTTATATTAGATACAGTTTTCTTTTTACGTTAATAATTGGAGATGTTGTTTCCATTGACCAATAATAGAATGTAAATTTCTAACAAACCGTGAGAACTTATTTATCGAAAAAGATCAAGAAGAGATTTCCGACCATAACTCGAAGAACCAACGATATTGACTCATGAATATTGATTATAAAGTGAACGCGTCAAGTTGTATCTCGTTTTAGCTTTTCTTTTACACATCTTTTTCTAGTTTGTTCATACGTTGAGAATGAGCAATGAAATATAAAAGAAAAAAAAAAAAGAAAATAATATTTAAGAAAATAATACAAATTTAATCTCAATTGAACAATTATTATGATTATTATTTAAAAGTGAAGAAATCATGCTTTTAATACGAACGAGCAATATAGGTTTTTCATATTTTAAGGAGGAATGTAATTAAAATATATATTTATTATTTAAAATATAATATTTATATTATGATATTTTACGAGTACGCGATTTTCAACATTACTACGAATATACATCTTTATTTCAAAAAACATATTTAGGTCAACTTTCTATACGGATAAAAGTACAACATATTAAAATGATAGGCTCTTTCTCATCAAAGTGAATTGCATCTGCTTGCTCTTTTGTTTCGTCCTCGAGTAATAATCAACGACTGATTATAAATAAACGAACAACAAGTAATCAACTACGTATAAATTCTTCATTTCTAGAATACCGATATCGAAAGAAACAAAATTATTGAATTACATCGTAAGAATGAAAATTCTTCTAACGCAAATTAAAAAAAAGAGAAAAAGTTAATAGTCGAATCGAGGACGCATATAAATACGGGTTATAGATAAATACCGTATACTGCCCGTATATATCAATACTTTTCCATGATTATGGTTTTATACTTTCTGTTAATATTGACGCTAATAAGCTGTATCATGCTTGACTACTCAAGAAACCGATAGAAAATTCGAAACTCTGTAATTATATCCATGGAAAATTATAGACATTAGCAAATGTATTTTATCTCAAATTCGACATTAAGATTTCCGATGCATTTTTTAGGAAAAAATGTATATAATAAATGTAACATCATAATTTATATAAATTTAATGATTTTAAGTATAACATACGTATATGTAAAAATATAAAATAAAAAAAAAAAAGATCAAATAATTCTGTAAAATGCATCGAAATGTGCAGCTATTCGCTCGGTAGTATTTGTGTTACATCATTCGATATATCGAAAGTAATATCAGATTTTATCACGTGGAGGTTTCTGCACCTGGAGATTCACGAGTTATTATCAATCGATTAATTAATTGTGTTTGTTTAATTTTGTTTCAACTAGGTCGATAGTTAATCAAAGATTTATAGATCACAATTTCTTGAATAATCAATTAGATAAGCTAAGCAGAAAGCAATGCATGTAAGAAAATATTACATGCTTTTTCGGACGAAATCGAATAAATCAATGCTCAATTTTACCACTACTAACAAGAGCAAAAAATAAAGTGTAAAAAAAGTGTATTCTTTAATTGCATTAAAATTTTAATGACGATAAGTTATCTGCAATATTATCCATATTCATATAAAATAAAATCACATAAAATGTAAAGAAAAATGAATACTTACAATGCATTCTAATGGGATGGAGCTCAATGGCCCCATGACGATTTATCTCGTGTGAATCTAAGAAATTAACAATAAGTTTCTTATCGAGAAACCGAAGTTTAATTATACGGTGAACTCAAATTCGCGTTTGATTTTAATTTATTTTACGTCCGATCACTAACTCCACAACTAATTCAAAGACTTAAGAATCTATTTTTATCTTTGGTACACATCTACAAATATTTGTATTTATATATTTATTATAGAATTTAAAAAAATTATATTTAATTTTTAGTGTATAAACATGTGTGCGCCTTCAGAAATGCAATTAAACATATATAATATTTAAAAAGGCAGTCAAAGAAAATCAAAAAGGTGTGATGTTAAATCCAACGATGATTACCTGTAACAAAAAGCAAACTATATTAGTCATACAGTCAAGTGATACAATAGCCTGACATATAAGTAGTCCAATTCACAGATGCATTTTTCATGAGAATTCCCTATTTATTTTTATCCAATCTCTATTTACCATTTGTAAAATAAAATTAATTTTAAACCCGTGATTTTACATTAAAAAATATGATTAATTAAGAAATCAGAAAAGTACAAATATTATAATAAGTTACTAATAAAAATAATATCCTATTAATTATTATAAAATACTTTAAAATTTTTACGTTATACACAAAAGAAAAATTGCAAATTTAATAAAATACAAACAAAAAAAAGAAATGAATGTAATATTTACTGAACGTTAATCAAACTTTAAAATTTAATAATACGAGAATTTAAATATTTTGAAATCTAACTAACTAAAAACTTATGCATCTTTTGGACGATTTGGGCACAGATTTGATGTGCCAAGGAGATGGAATGATCCATCATCTCCRATTACAATTACAAATTAATGACGAGCATAAAGATAATACAATAGAATGTAAAATATAACTAAAGAGCTATTTTCGAAAAGTTCAAACTTATTGTTGAACTTTTGAAAATAACTCAATAGTTTAGTAATTGCCCACTTGATACCACATTTAAGTGGGGGCCTCTTCGGCCTTAGCCTCTTTGGCATTAGCCTCTTCTTTCTTCATTCCTGAAAACTGCATTGGACATTTTCTACGTGATAAGATGTCTCATACTATTTTTTTCAGATTAACTCGTATTTTGTGTGTTTGATAATTCTAATTCTTAATTATTAGAAAATTAATTTTCGTTTTTTGTTAGTTATTCAAGCTCGTGGGCATATACACGAGCACAATTAAACGAATGTCCAAGCAGATAATTATYGATGACCTAAAAACACGTCGCACTTTTAATTTCAAG